CGCTTGATTACCTTCAAGCCTTTAAGACCCCAGACGCTGTACTTTTTGATGGTCGGGCACCATCAGCTTTCTTCGCCACCAAATGAGCATATTTTTAGGTTAAAAAATCCACAACCCTTCCCCGAGGGCTACAGGTAGCCGTCGTGCCCCGCCCACCACTGGGAGGGCCGCTGCTAGTCGCCTAGCCCCGCCCACCAGTGGGAGGACCACAGTCGCTCCCTTGCCCCGCCCACCAATGGGAAGGTCGCTGTTGCTGAGGCTGGGAAAATTGACAAACGTGCAGCCTCCTCTGCCAGATGCACCTGGGGACCTCCCAGGAGCCCGCGGGGAAGTCACGACTGTGCAAGTCAGCCACATCTGAAGGTCACACAGCTGCAGATGGGAAGGGAGCCAGGAAACCAGGACTCCCCACCTGCCACTGACTACTGGTGATCCAACCCGAACTGCTGGCTCTCCAGGGGAGGAGGCAGGGATGGAAAGTCAGGCCACTAATGGGAAGACATCGTCGCAGCTCAGCCTCACGGTTGGCCTCAGCCTTGAGCAAAGGCAATGAGAGCCCAAAGGATCCTGCCCCTACGCCCCAGCTAAACCCACACCACGCCCCCAGCCATTGATCCCGGCCCCAGGCGTGCTCCAAACACCCTTGTTTTCTTGGCTGTCATCTCTACAGAAGCTAATCGCCAGACCTTACTTCCTTTACATAGTCATTACCCCATTTTACAGAGGGGGAAACCGAGTCTCAGAGAGGTCATGCCACTTGACCAAGGTCACAGAGTTCCTGACCAGCTCAGTTGGCCGCTGGAACCCAGGCCTGACTCCCAAAGCAAAGCTCAGAGGCAGCCTGATCTGGGTTCAAATCCAGGCTCGGCCAGTTAGCAGCCAGATGTGCAGGTGTCCAAAGAATCTGTCCACACTGCCAGGATGGGCCTCAGAGGTGGAGGCGCTGAAATTCTGAAATGGGGCCCAGCATGCACTCCAGCCCAGGAAAGGCCCCACCTGAGGGGCCAGGGGACACTGGAGAACTGCCCAGCATTCTCCCCTGCCCTCAGTATTGACCACAAGTAACTTCTGATGTCCATGGACCAGTTCATCAAGGCAGCAGACAGGAGTGTCTGCCTGGAAGACCTCCCTCAACCTGGCCTCAGAGGGGAGGGTGGGCACTCAGGGGGCAGGGGCACAGCCCAGAGATGCCCACCATGCTGGAGGTGCAGGGAGCTGGGTATGGATATCAACCTGCTGCAGACTGGTTGAGAGGAACCCTGGTGGTTCAAGGTCTGCAGTTCGAAACCACCAGCTGCTCCACAGGAGAAAGATGAGGCTTTCTACTACGCAAAGAGTCAGTCTCAGAAACCCACAGGGCAGTTCTACCCTGCCCTATAGAGTCGTCATGAGTCAGAATTGACTGGATGGCAGTGAGGTTGTTTTTTTTTCTTCTTGTTTTGCAGACTGGTTGAAGCAGACTACTGAAGGAGCGCTGATGGCTTAGTAGTTGCACGTTGGGCTGACTGCTAACTGCAAGGTCAGCAGTTCAAAACCACTAGGCACTCAGCAGGAGAAAGATAGGGCTTTCTACTCCCATGGAGAGTTCCAATATTCTTCTCTAGCACCACAGTTCAAATGCACCAAGTCTTCTGTGGTCCCCTCTCTGGGTCTGTTTCCCCATCTCAAACACTGAGGATGTACTCAAATTTATTCTTGGACAGTCTTGAGGGGGATGGCGAGACTGGGGGCCAGGGAAGTCGAGGGACATAGAGATGGAGGCTAGAGGGCAGAGTGGCACAGAGATGTGACCTAAAGAGGCAGGGGCGCACATGGGGATGGAGGCAGCCCCCTCGGCTCCAGCTCACCCAGGCAGCCGGTTCCATCCAGGCTGCTGGCCATGGCTGACAGGCACACACTTTACTGCCAGCCATGTTGGCACGGGTGCCCCTGGGGCACAAGCCTGGTACTCTGAGACACTCATCTACATCCGAGGACCAAAACACTCCACCAGCCCGGTACCCCCCTCCTGCAGGGGTCCCCTGCGGCCAAGGACACAGAACAGGTCCCCTGCCTGTCACTCACCTTCACACTTGCTTGCTCCCCCGTTGAGCTGATATCCCGCCGGGCAGTGGCACTCGAAGGAGCCCAGTGTGCTGATGCAGCTGCCCCTCTGGCACAGGCCAGGGACAGCCTGGCACTCATCCATATCTGCAGGGCCACTGCCCACCCAGGGGGTGAGAGGCCTGTTACAGGGAGGAATGAAGGATGCCCAGGGCTCCCACTGAACCCCCACCGAACCCCCACACTCACCATGGCAGGCTCCTGTTTGGACACTGGGGATGAAACCTCTGCGGCAAGGGTGTGGCTGGGGAGGGCAGAGGGCACACCGGTAGCCCCAAGCCTGGCCCACAGTGGCACAGCACAGTGCCCTGGTGCAGACGAGGCTTGTCAGCTAGTGATGACACCCCTCAGGGCCCACATGGCCAAGCAGGGTCCTGTCCGGTAGTCTGGGGTAGGGTGGGACAGGCACAGTGGGTGTGGGCAGCAGGCCTGTGTCCTCCTAGGCCTGGCATCTCCATCCCTGCAGCCCCAGCTCAGGCCTCCACCTCCCTGCTGTCCTCGCTGCCCCCCTGCGCCAAACACGCCAGACTTCTTCTTTTACATGAGCCTTTGCTCAAGTTGCTCCCCTCTCTAAAAAGCCTTTCCTCCTCTTAGCTAATGTCTTCCTCTTCCCCCTGCAGAACCTTTTCTCCAAAGTACCGTATATAGTCGAGTATAAGTCAACCCGAATATCAACCGAGGCACCTAATTACCACTAAAATGGCATAAAAAATGTGCTGAAAAACTCGGCTTTTACATGAGTATATAGGTAGTTCAAAACACAGGCCACAAAGCCCAGGCCCACCTCTCCTCTCAGGCCTGGGCCAAACGCCAGGGATGACTGGTGGCCGACCGGCAAGCCTGCCCCATCTCTGACCTGACCCTGCCACATCTCCGGGCCTTTGGGAGAGACCCAGCATGTGTGCGAATGGGCTGGGCTCTGAACGCCATCCTCTCCACCTCCACCAGGGTCAAAGGTGGCCAAGTTACCCACCCCTCCACCAAAGAGCCAAGGGGCCTAGATGTGACTATGATTTCCTGTGCCGGCTCTCCAGATGTTTCCAATAACAGGGCTGGAACTCCACCAAGGGAAGCCCCTTCCAGAAAAAACAAAGGCAGCCCCTAAGCCCACCAGAGTCTGCATGGGGGAGATGCTTTCCAGAGACCCCTCCTGGCCCAACTTCCCCAGAACCTCGCCTGGATCAGTCTGCACCTGCAACGCTGGACAGCTAGCGGCCTCTCTCCTGGGCCTCCTCCCGCCCTCCCCCTGGCCCTCAGCCCCTCAGCCCCTCCAGCTTCCGGCTCCTCGCGACACTCCCTGCACCCCCGCCACTGGGTCAGTCCCAGGGACCCACCTCCTGCACTGCTTGTCCTTCCCAAGCCTTGCCCCTTGGGCCACCCCATCATTCCTTGGGTCTTGTCCCCCCCCCAGTCCCACCCACCACCTGTCAGTCCTCAGGGCCCCGCCCCCGACATGCGGAGATCCGGGGACCAGTCCCGCCCATTACCAACTTAGTTCCAGGGCCCCGCCTCCTTTGCCGTTTATAAACGCCCTCTGGGCATCATGGTTATGCAGTGGGCTGAGATCCTCAAGGTCGGCAGTTTGAAATCACCAGGCACAGGTGGCTTTCTACTCCCATAAACAGTGACAGCCACGGAAACACACAGGGCGGTTCTATCGGTCTCCACTCAATGGCAGTGCGTTCGAAACCACTGGCCATGTTCCTTCTCCTTCTCAGCCTGTGTCCACTCTTCAAGGCCCAGACTCCTTCTGTCTGTCCCTCAGCCCCTTCTAGCCTCACCCCCCACCCCCGACCCCCTGGATGTGTGGTGGTCGCCTTCCTTTGTATAGCACAGCCTGGGAAACGCTACGGGGCAGGTTTCCGCTGTCTTTTGAGGGCACACACCTGCACAAAACATGGATGCAACAGCTGCCGCCTCAGCCTGAAGACCTGGGTGTCGGCTGCCTCCTGGACACCCACAGTCCCCTGCTGCCCTGCCCCCACACCCCATCACAAGGCAGTACTGCTTCCACTGCCTGGCAGAGATCTGGTTGTGTCCCTACAAACGTGTGTTGTTACGGGTGCCCGAGGGAGCCGGCACGTCTGTGTTACCTTGGCAAGACAATGGGCTCAGACAGGGTAGCTATTGTGAGGATGTGGCGGGATGGGGCAGCGTTTCATTCTTTAGGGCATAGGGTCGCTAGGGGTTGGAACCGACTCGGCTCCTCAAACGAGAGCCAGGCATCCAGTATCCCTTTCCCAAGCCCCCACCTCCAGGGCACTCACGCATGACACTCTGGTTCCCACTGGGCAGTGTCCCCCAGCCGGGGCAGCAGTAGTCATGGAAGCGAGAGCCACGCACATTTGGCCTTTGGGGGAGCAGGTAGGCAGGTGAGAGGATGACCGGTGAGTGTCAGGGCAGCCCACTCCCTGCCCCTATCCCCCCCAGGGTTTCTCAGTATCTGGGGAGCCACGCACCCCTGCAAGACAACAGGAGGACTTTGCCTCTGCACCCATCCAGCATCTGGAGGCCTGGCTGCCCTGTCCCAGCGGCCCTGGCTACCTGCCATACATGACAGTATCCCCCAAGCCAGAAGGAGCAGCGCCAGGGAGCTCGGAGACATGGTGAGGCCACCAGTCCTCTCCTTGCCAAGCATGGTCCTTCTGGAGTCAGGCCTTGTCCCTGGAGGCTGCCGAGAGCAAGTGGGAGTCAGGCACACACAAACCCAGCTCCCAGAAACGGCCCAGTGGACTAGGAGAGGATTCCCAGAAAGGGAGGCCCAGGGGTGGCCAGGGGAGGCTCATTTGAACAACCCAAGGAGGCTTCCTGGAGGAGGGGCGATGTCTCCAGGATGGAGTCAGCCAGAAGATGCAGGTGCAGAGAGGGAACAGAAAAAGCAGGAGCAAGAAGAGGGCAGTGTGTGTGGAGGGAGCAGGTGGGGACGACAGGTAGCTAGTATAGGGATAAAGGGAGGTACAGTGAACCCTCGTTTATCGCGGTTAATCGGTTCTAGACCCTACCGTGATAAATGAAATTCCGCGAAGTAGGATTCCTTATTTGTAAATCAAATATTTTCGTAGTTAGAGCATAGAGGACATGACAAAACACCCTTTAGTCACCATTACACGCGTATAACCCAATTTATTAAAGAAAAAGGGAAAATGCAGTAAAACATTTTGGACGTTACAATTATCATTTATTATTTATTATATTATGAAGTACACCGGATGGAGCAAACGGAAGACTCATTCAAGTCGAAATGGCGTGCAACCTCCACGATTTTCTTGCCATCTTTGATCATATCCAAAAGTTTTACCTTTTCCTGGATGGTGAGCATCTTCCTCTGGCGCTTATTTTTATTGTCAGAAGGCTTAGAAGAAGAAGCTCGTTTAGGAGCCATCATAGGGCTTAGATAAAATTTCTTAAAAATCGCAAACAATTACAGTACACTGTACAAAAGCAAAAATGCATCTGATACGTAGCTCCGATACGTAGCGATGCAGACAGAAGCGTGTATAGTATGAGCCAGTCAGTGGCAGTAATGACAGAGCATGTGCTGTTACGCAAAAACCGCGATAGAGTGAAGCCGCGGAAGTCGAAGCGCGAAGTGGCGAGGGTTCACTGTAGTCCTCCCCAAATGCCTGCGCTGGCAGAAATCTCCAGACAGGGTCCCAAGAAAGGGGTTGCAGGGAAGCCAGGCACCCATCAGACACCTATGGTAAAACACCTAGACACCTGCGATGTGACATCACCCAGGTGTGCCTGAACTCTGCCATGAAGTCGGCCAATACCTGCAACCATGTCCCCTCCGGTAATGCAGGAAAGGGATAAAGGCAGGGCCCAGGGATACAGTCTCTGTTTCTCTCTCTCTCTCATTTGCTGCTCTTGGTTCCCACCCAGTGTGGTTTTCAAGCTCCTGTTCCGTTATTCATTTCACGTGATTTTCCGTGCTCTCCTCAAGTGGCCACCTTCCGTTGTGAGCTCCTGCGTGGTCTCAGCGCTGCCTTGTGCTCCAAAAGTAGCATGTACTTTCTGAGACTGTATAAGGGGAAACTTTCCTTTCCCTCATGCAGATTACTTGGGTTTACGAAAGGGTGTCTGCCACAGGAATTCTTTTCAGCGTTGCGAAGCAAGAAAGGAGGTAAACCACTCCAGAGACCTCACAGGGGCGGGTCTGGTAGGCTTAAGTGACTGTACTGAGCTCATCTGGGGAATATTGGCGCACCCCTGAAGATCTCCGTGTGAGAGAGGCAAGCCCAGAGACCTGTGCCAAGGGGGTGGAGGCGGGAACTAAGGCTTGGAGTTGGCAAGCAGGTGGAGAGGCGGGGCTGGGATGAGGACCGGAGGAATCCTATCAGGAATCAGCAGACTGAGACGTGGGTGGGAAGTGAACTCTGCATGAGGAAGGAGGCTGTTTCCCCACAAGGGGGGTGGGAGTTGGGGATTGGGGGGAGTCTATAGGAGACTGAGACACGCTAGGTAGGGGCAGGGTCATTGGGGGCGGGGTGGGAGCTTCCCAACCCAGAGGACATCCATCCTCCCACTTCACAGGTGCGCAAATGAAGGCTGAGAAGGCGCTGCAGTCTCTGGTTGGCACAGAAGGATGGGAGTTGGCACCTACCCAACAAAACTCAGTAACTCACTGCCGTCCAGTCAATGCAGATGCTTAGAGACCTTGTAGAACCACGGGGCAACCGCCCCTGTGAGTTTCTGAGATGGTAACCCTGTACAGGAAGAGAAACCCCGTCTTTCTCCCACAGAGCCAGTGGTGGGTCTGTACTACCAGCCTTGCCGGTTGCAGCCCAACTGGTAATCACGGCGCCGCCAGGGTCCCTAACCTACCCAAATGTGGGGAAAAGGCCAGGCACAGGTAAGAGAACCCTATGGAGCTCACGTTTAACGCACTGGGCGCCATGAGCCAGAATCTATGTGGAAGGAAATGAGTCCGATGTCTTTCCTTTTGAGGTCCCAGCAGCAGGGAGGGAGCTGGCATTTCTCCTGGGCCAGGAAGGGTGGGGGGCAGGTGAGGGGGTCAGGGCCCCACATGGAGGCCTCGACCCAGGCAAAGGTGAAGCCGGACACTTGGGGGGGCGAGAAGCCACACCTAACGGTCGGTGAGGTGGGGCTAGTCTGAGCAACGGGTGGTTGGTCCCCAGATCCCCAGAGAAGGGAAAGAGCCTGTTGGGAATGGGCGAGCGTGGCCTGGCTGGGAAAAATGCGCCCCCTGCTTGCCCCTCCAAGATATCCAGGTCGGTCTGCGCTCTGAGCGGGCCCTCTCCGGGTACCCTCCATCCCTAGGAACCCCCTTCTCCATTCCTGCTTCGGGGGGTCCGCCCTCACCCGCCTTCCGCGTGTCCGAACGCGTGGAATGAATGAGCGCCGTGGAGGAGCGCCGCTTGGCCAGGGAACGGGCTTCCTGGGCTCCACCGACGGGCACGGGCGCCCCGGGGACCAGAGCCGCACCCTCAGCCCAGGCAGCACCAGGGCGCAGAGCCCAGGCCTCACGCAGCTCTGCCTTCACCTGCGGGTCGGGGCTGGGTGGGCGCCCCGCCGCCGCTGGCGCCTGGGCCGAGCCCCCGCCGGGCGCCTGAACCCCACTCCTCACTCAGGCGTCCAGAGAGGAAGGGGCTGGGACTGGGGCTTCCGTGCAAACAAAGGAGGCCGTTCCCCTCCCCCCCTACCCAGCGTACGCCCTCCGTACCTGCCAAGAGCGCCTCTAGGGCCCGGGGCGGGAGCGCGGAAGCTAGAGGCCCACCCCACCGCGTTGCGGCGGCCGGGAGCTGCCACTTGGGGGAGGTGGGGGTGAGAGGAGTTGGGGGAGGGTGTGTCTGCACCTCGAAGCTCCGGGACCGAGGGGGCGTGGGCTCAGGGGCTGGGGGGAGGGCCTGGGACTCCAGGGCGACTCCTAGGCACTGGAGAGCTGCAGCGAGGCGCCTAGCCAGCGCGGGCGCGGGAGCTGGGATCGGGTGGGTGCCGTCAGGGGCTTCAGGGGCCTGGGATTTCGGGGAGGAGTTGAGCTGACTTGGTCCCGAGGTGGGGGCGCGGACTTGGGGCGCCCTGGACTCACCTGGGAGACCCTCCCACAGCCACGCGGGCAGCCTCCCCCTGGGGCCCCGGAGAATTCCCAGGGCGAAGTGGAAGCCCACCTGGTGCCTAGAGTCTGCCGCCTGGATTAGGCAAATTTTGCGCAGACTTGAACTTCGGGCCGCTTTAAAGAGTTACCCCTATGGGTCCAAATTGGACCGCTAGGAAGATTCCCTTGGAAACGTCGGGAGGGGTGAGTGGGGGAGGAGCAATTCCATTCGGAAGAGTGGGGTGAGAAAGGTCGCGCGGGGTGACCTATATACTCAAGGTCTTGAAGAAGCTGTCAGAATGGTGACGGGCCAGCTGAGTATTTTCCCAACAGCAGTAGAAAAACCATAGACTTTGTGCCAAGATGCATCTCCTGGGGGTCCTTCTGATTCCCAGCAGAAAGAGTGAAGAAATCCCAAAAGCCTAGGCTTAAAAAATAAAATACAACCTCTCTGGACCTCGGTTTCCCCACCTATCAGGGGGATTGGATTTCAAAACCTCTGCTCCCTGTCTGGGGTCTACACTGGATCAAAGTTTGTCGACCACTCCCCTGCCCTGCCCCCCTTTCCCACTTTAACAAAAGGACTTGTCAGGGGATTTTTGTTGGCCTTTGAACCCGTTACACGCTTACTCCTACACATGCAGCTGAATTCAGTTCAAAAATCTTCTCGTTGCTAGGTTACCCCTAAATTGTTCCTTTACCACCCTGAGTTCCTTATTGAAAGGTGACTGCGGGTCATGCCTCCATTGGTAGCCCTTCTATGTGAGGTGCTGTCCAGTTGGTTCTGACCCATGGCAGCCCGATGTACAGCAGAATAAAGCACCCTCGGTCCTGGTCCTGTGCCATCTTCACCAATGTGGTTGTGTGTGAGCCCATGGGTGCAGCCACTGGGTCCATCCATCTCATTGAGGGCCTTCCTCTTTTTCCACCACCCTTCTACTTGATCATGCACCATGTCCTCCAAGGACTAAACTCTCCTGACAACATGTCTAATGTATGTAAGACGAAGTCTCACCCTGTCCTTCCTCCTAGACAGGTTTGTTTGTCCTGTTGCTGGTCCGTGGCTCTTTGAATACTTTTTTTTGCCAGCGCCGTAATCCAGATACATCCATTCTCCTCTGGCCTTCCTTATTCAGGTTCTGTGGTCTTCGGATAATCTGTTGTCAATTTGAGAGGATTAAGAGTGAAGGGGTGGATTCTAGCCTGTCATTCAGGTTATAGACAATGAGATCTCTATGTAGCATAGCCTTCTTTCTCCTGAGGATTCTGGGAACTCTTGTCTTCCTCCCTGCAGGTGAGAGACACACTCTCTCTGCTCAGTGCCTGCGAGACATTCTTGTTGACAAGCCACATGGAGTCAGGCTGATGGCAGCCAGAGCCTCCAAGCTGGAGAAGCCATGTGGAGACCCCTACCAGCACTGAGATGCTTACACCACCACTAGATCCACAAGACTTCCCACCCACTGGCCTGTGATAATTCTTCATTTGGCATCATTGCATGTGTTTCATGAGTCTGAAGAGGAATTTATAGATTGGTACCGGGTATATGGGCTAATACTGGACTTATGGACTTGATCTGAACTGGGCTGGGATGTTGTCTTAATGGAAAATCACTCTCTGATATAAAACTCTCTCTTATACCCATGTAAGTGTCTATGAATTTGTTTCTCTAGTCTACCCAGACTAACACAGGTTCCAACTTTCATATGCATTGAGGCGACTGGAAATACCATGGCTTGGGTCAGGTGCACCTTAGTCCTCAAAGTGACGTCCTTATTTTTCAACAATGTCAAGAGGTCCTGTGCAGCACGTTTACCCAATGCAACGAGTTCTTTGGTCTCTTGACAGTTGCGTCCATGAGCATTGCCTGTGGATCCAAGCAAGATGAAACCCTTGACCACGTCGAGCTTTTCTCCACTGACCATGGTGCTACCCATGGGTTCAGCTGCAAAGACTTTGGTTTTCTCGACATTGAGTTGTCATCCATATGGAAGGCTACAAGCCCCTGGTTTTCATCAGCAAGTGGTTCATGGCCTCCGTTTGTTGGGTGCCTGCAAGGTGCCAGGCTTGGTGTTAAGAGCTCACACGCATTCTCTCAATCCCAGACCACTCTGTGAGACAGATTCTCCTAGAATCATCCCATTTTTCGGGCAAGTGAAGGTAGCTTTACCAAGCATGTAAGTGGTGGCACTAGGATTCGAGCTTATGAGAGTCTGGGGTTACTGTTCTCCCTGGACGGGTCTCAGCTGGTCTCCAGACTCATCCCCATCTTGTATTGGAGGCAGGTGGTCTCTGGGGAGCAGCACTGAGGGTTTTGCTGAGGAGGGTGAAGAGAGGAGAGGCCGGCCTGTACTAGTCCGGGTAGACTAGAGAAACAAATTCATAGACACTCATAGGGGTATAAGAAAGAGCTTTATATACAAGAGCAATTGTACATTAAGAAAGCATCCCAGCCCAGTTCAGATCAAGTCCATAAGTCCGATATTAGCCCATATGTCTGATACCAATCTATAAAGTCCTCTTCAGACTCATGAGACACATGTGATGATGCCGAATGCAGGAAGATCATAGGCCTGTGGGTGAAAAGTCTTATGGATCCAGTGGCGGTAGAGACATCTCAGCACTGGCAGGGTCTCTATGTGGTTCCTTCAGCTCTGAGGCTCTGGTTTCCATCAGCCTGTCTCCATGTAGCTTGTCAACAAGAATGTCTCTCAGGAAGTGAGCCAGGAGAGAATTTCCCGCCTCCAGGGAGGAATGCAGGAGTTCCTAGCATTCTCAGGAGAAGGCCACGCCCACACAGAGGCCTAATTGGCTATACAATGATCGACAGACTTCACCCCTTCACTCTTAATCCTCAAATTGACAACAGATTATATAACTACCACACCACCCCAGACAGATTTCCCAGTCCTCTGCCCAGCAGCACCCTTAACTCTGTGGAGGTCAGAACCAGCCTGGGAGGAGACACTGGACACTCCTAGGCCAGGCTGGAGGCCAGGACTCCCGGAAGGATGTCGGGGGATGGATCTAGAAGGCTCAGCATCACTGCTATCAAGTTGACTCCAGCTCATGAGGACTCGGAGTCTATCCCAGTACAACTGCTCCATCAGACCTTCACTGGCTATGAGCACTGAGAACTGGACTGCCAGGCCTTTCTTCTAAGAGCCTTGTGAGTTGACTCAGTCAGCAGCCATATGGGTTGACCATTTTGCCCCGTCCAGAGACACAGGGGTGTGAAGCCTCTCAGGAGAAGGAAACAAAAGCAGAGGGAATTAACGCAAGCACAGTATAGGGCTGGAACTGTGAGGGGCTGGCGCTTTGGGAAGGCCTCTGGGGGCTGCTGACCCAAAGGTTGGTGGCTCACTCACAGGTGGTGCAGTGGAAGACAGGCCTGGTGATCTGCTTCCATAAAGATTACGGCCAAGAAAACACTATGCAGCCACAGCATTTTCTGTTCAAGCTTTGGGGTGGGGGTGGGGGATAAAGAGGGCCCAAAGGGAGGCTGGAGAAGTGGCAGAGGCCACAGTAAGCTCCCTGACTGTTGTGGGGAGTCAGGACTGGGTTCCCTGGCAGGGGAGTCACTCGGTCAGCACTGTGGGCCCTGTGGGGTATCAAGGACCCAAGAGTAAATTGAGGGTGTGAGGCAGAGAGGACTTTCAGGAAAGACCAGGGGGAAAGAGTGGGTCATCCTAGCTGAGCACAGGGGTCCTTGAGGCCCATGAGAGGGTCAGGAGGGCTGAGGCGAGTGACCTGGGAAGCCAAGTTGGCATAGTGTGTCAGAATTGGGGGCAGGGGGCATTGTTCATGGTCCATTGTGGATGGACCAGCTTCAGGACATCTCTGTCACTCATTCCCAGGCTCCTGGGTCACCTCTCCAATCTCCTCCTCCACTCCCCAGACTTCTACCAAGTCACCGGCCAGTAAGTGCATCTCACATGGGCACTGGGCAAATACCAGGGGGCTTGGGAGTAGCCTAGCATGTGTGCAGAAAGTGAGGTGGGTCAGAACCCCCATCAGGGACACAGCAGGCCTGAGGCTGTAACTGCAAAGCAGTAGGAAGGCTTTCTCCCCCAAGAAGGGTGGATCAGGTGGTGATACATTTCCAGAAGTTTCCATGCAATCAGTAGAATGGGGGCAAGATGACAGAGGTGAAGCTGAAGAAGTAAGGCAAGGACATATGTGCCCAATCGCCTCCAGTGACCCGAAGTGGGTGGTGGTTGGCTACCATCACCGCACATCATGATCAAACACGCTATGTAAGAGTCATGGTCTCCTTTTAACAAAGATGGCACCAAAGGCAAAGAAGGAAGCCCCTGCCCCTCCCCCAATGGAAACAGAAGCAAGGACGTGAAAGGACAAGGAGGCCGTGCTGAAAGGCGTCCACATCCCCCCACACACATACCCCCCACACACATTCACACATCGCAAACCTCCCTGAGGCCCAACAGCCTGAGGCTGAGGAGGCAGCCCAAGTACCCGTGTAAGAATGCCCCCAGGAGAAACAAGCTTGACCACTGGGCCATCACCGAGTGCCCCCAGACCACAGAGTCCACCATGAAGATCGAAGACAACCCACCGGTGTTCATGGTGAATGTCAAGGCCAACAAGCACCAGATCAAACAGGCTGTGAAGAAGCTCTGTGACATTGACATGGCCAAGGTCAACACCTTGATCAGGCCTGATGGTGAGAAGAAGGCATATGGTCAACCTGCTCCTGACGATGACGCTTTAGATCAGTGATTCTCAACCTTCCTAATGCTGCGACCCTTTAATACAGTTCCTCACGTTGTGGTGACCCTCCAACCATAAAATTATTTTCGTTGCTACGTCATCACTGTCATTTTGCTGCTGTTATGAATCAGGTGAGCCCTGTGAAAGAATCCTTTGACCCTCAAGGGGGGGGTCACGACCCACAGGTTGAGAACCGCTGGTTTAGATGTTGCCAACCAAATCAGAATCATCTAAACTTAGTCCAGCTGGCCAATGCTTAATATAAAAGTTTTAAATAACCATGAAAAAAGTCATGATCAAAAGGGGGGACATATGGAACAGAATTTTCCAAATTTTCATAGAATCCAGTCTTTCTGGAGCCGTGGAAGCTGGATGATAATCTTTAACCCCTCAACTGGAACTATCCCCTATCTTCTGGGGCAGTTCTCCTCTGTCCAACTGAGTAGGAATCAACTCAGTAGCAGTGAGGGTGTTGTTTTGTTCCTGTTTCCTGGGAGATCGCCGTGTGACATCTGTCTCCCACCACCTCTGCTTTCCCAATCTGCTTCTTTCATATCTTGTAAAAGACTGGCTCAAATGGGACATGCCCATCACCTAGCAGGCAGGCATTACTCGCTGCCATCCAGTCAATGGTGACTCACAGTGACCCCCTGTGGGTTCCCGAGACTAACTGTTTAAGGGAGTAGAAAACTGTCTTTGTCCTGCCAAGCAGCTGGTGGTTTCGAACTGCCGACCATGAGGAACGCAGCCCAACGCATAACCACTACCCCACCAGGGTCCCTTACCTAGCAGCCATAGAGGTCAGGATTCTGAGCACATTATGAGGGGACACAGTTCAATGAATGGGCACTTCTTATTGTCACCGTGGGGCCCCTCAAATTCATCATGCCATCTAGCCCCGTCGTGATGTCTGCAGTGCCATGGCACCACGCCCTGGCCTTGTACTGCGCCCGTCTGTCCCTGATGCCGTCATTCTGTCACATCGTCATGAGGGGACGTCTGGGTCCTCTGCTCCCCTCCATCATCAACCTGTCACAGGGGCACAGCGTGGTACCCCATCTTCGGGTCAACATGGCACCATCTCCGAGGTCCTATTACAGGGTCACTTGTCACACACCCCCCATTGTCACCACCCTCATTGTCACCAGTCACAGGCATTATCCTGGCACTCCGTTGCCTCCTGTGACAGTCACCTTGTGGCCGCTCACATTCATGCCTCGCTGGTGTGACATTGTCATCATATGTTGCTCGGGTGAGTGACAGGAAGCAGCAGGGGCCAGACGGGTGCAGCAGCCTTACATGCCGGGGAAACAAGCCCGGGGATTATGTGAGTGGTCACGTTGCCCCTTATCTTCCACAGATATCATCTCCCAAGGACGCCCTGCCCTCATGAGAGATTGAAGGCCCACCCCCAGCTCCTGCAAGCGTGTGGCCCTACTTGGAAATTAGCTCTCTTAATAACGACCTAACAAGAGCTTCTGCCTGAGTAGACAAAACAAGAACCTGGCCCTAAGGGGCAAGGTAGAGCTGCCCCCAGGGGTTTCCGAAGCTGGAACTCTTTACAGGAGTAGAACGTCCCATCTTTCTCCCGAGGAGCGGGGAGTTGTTTTCGAATTGCTGACGTTGTGACGAACAATCCGGCCGAGCAGGGCTCCTTGACCCAGTCGGGTGGATCCAAACTCCATCCGAGTGGAGTCCTTGTGAAAGAGAAGAGACACAAAGGGTGGATGGCTCTGGGACAAGGGGGCAGAGATGGAAGGATGCTGCTGTAACCAAGGATGCAGGCACCTCCGGGAAGGGCCTTACTCCAAGGCCTCCAAGTGAGCAAAGCCCTGCCGGCCCTCAGAGCCTTGAGTCAGCACACATCCGTGCCTGTCATCCTCCCCGACAACCTAGGCGCGGATCCTGAACACCATAATCATCCTCAGAAAAAGCTTCCCCGCCCCCCTATCCCCCACCAGTGCAGCACACTAGGCTGGGCTGTGTAGCCAAACAAAGCCAGTGACACTCACCTATGTATAAGAAC